AATAACTTTGAGGTGGTTTCGTACCCTACCATAATCTCTATGTTTGTTCTCCGCTATTAGTGGCTTTGGAGTGACTCTTTGTTGCATGTTGAGGGCTTGTTATATTATCTATCTATGTTATTATTGTTGAGAGAACTTGCACTAGTGAAAGTATGAACCCTAGGCCTTGTTTCCTATCATTGCAATACCGTTTACGCTCACTTTTATCTTTAGTTCCTTGCTGTTTTTATATTTTCAGATTACAAAAACCTATATCTACTATCTATTTTGCACTTGTATCACCATCTCTTCGCCGAACTAGTGCACCTATACAATTTACCATTGTATTGGGTGTGTTGGGGACACAAGAGACTTTTTGTTATTTGGTTGCAGGGTTGTTTGAGAGAGACCATCTTCATCCTACGCCTCCTACGGATTGATAAACCTTAGGTCATCCACTTGAGGGAAATTTGCTACTGTCCTACAAACCTGTGCACTTGCAGGCCCAACAACGTCTACAAGAAGAAGGTTGTGTAGTAGACATCAGTCATGCATCGTTTCCTTCTTGTTCTACTTCTATTAACATATCTAATGTTTTAGTCTCTCCTGATCTCACTAAAACTCTTGTCTCTGTTCGTTCTCTTACTCATGAAAATCCTATCACTGTTGAATTTGAAGGGTGTGGTTTTTCTGTGAAGGACGCCCGTACTCGTATGGTACTCCACCGATGTGACAGCCCTGACGAGCTCTACCTGGTTCACCCGCCATCCTCCACCGCCACCGCTCATGTTGTCCTTTCCGATGGTGTGGACCTCTGGCATGCTTGTTTGGGTCATCCAACCCCAACCACGCTTCGTCATATTCTTCGGAGTTTTTCTTTGACTTGTAATAAAGTTACCGACCACACTTGTCATGCTTGTCGTGTCGGGAAACACGTTCGCCTTCCCTTTAGCGAGTCTTCAACAATCGCCTCATACCCTTTTCAGTTAATTCATAGCGATGTTTGGACATGTCCTATTGCGAGCAACACAGGCTATCTTTATTATCTTGTCATTTTAGATGAATTTTCTCATTATGTGTGGACTTTTCCTCTTCGACAGAAATCTAATGTTGTTTCCACTCTTTCAGTTTTTTACCCCTATGTCAGCACGCACTTTGTGGGTCCCATTCTTGCATTGCAAACTGACAATGGGAAAGAGTTCGATAACCTTGTCGTTCGCCATTTACTTACCACATATGGTACCATCTTTCGTCTAACATTCCCCTACACCTCGCAACAAAACGGGCAGGCCAAATGAGTTCTTTGCACTCTAAGTGATTGCGTCCGTAGCCTCTTATTTCATGCCAACGTCCCACCCTGTTTCTGGCCGGATGCGCTTGCCACGACATCCCTCTTGATCAACATCCGACCAAGTCGCACTCACTGGAATTATGCACCGCATCACCTGCTCTTCGGCACACCCCCATCTTATGATGGACTTCGAGTCTTTGGGTGTCTCTGTTATCCCAGCATCGCATCCACCGCCCCGCATAAGCTCGCTCCACGGTCTCTCGCATGCATCTTCCTCGGTTACCCTCCCAACACCAAGGGCTACCGGTGTTGTGATTCGGTCTCCCACCGAGTGCTCACCTCGAGGAACGTGTAATTTGATGAGAAAATGTTTCCCTTTCAGCAGTTATCGCCCGCTGACGAGCCATCCTCGTCATCATCGTCTCTCTTCGGCAGGTCTTCTCTGACGCCCCAGCAGCCACTTCGAGGTCACCCGTGGCCCGCCCTTGGCTCTTCGGCGTCCCCTCCGGACTCCACTACCACGGCCGGCCCCTCCACGGCTGCCCCGCCGAGCTCTGCTGGCTTGGATGCGGCCTCGGTGGCCTCGAATGAGGCCTCATACACTGCCTTGGATGCCTTCGGTGCGGCCTCCCGAGCCGTCTCCCCGGGTCCGTCTTCATCAACCTCATCGGGCCCGGACACGCCGTCACCGACCGCCGCGCCCTCCGTGCTGCCATCACCGACCACCGCGCCCTCCGCGCCGCCGTCCGCATCTGCCACGCCGCCGTCTGTCCCGGCGCCTCCGCTTGTTGGGATCATGAATCGGGCCTGCACCGGGGTCCTCCGTTCGAGCAGCCGGTACACCTCAGAGCAGTACATGTGTGCTGCTTTGACGTCCTTGCCATGCCCGGTTCCGTCGTCCGCCTACGCCGCCCTTCGCGACCCTAACTGGCTTGCCGCTATGCATGAGGAGTTTGACGCATTGCAACGCAACCGTACGTGGCAGTTGGTCCCGCGTCCCCGCCATGCTAATATCATTAGCGGGAACTGGGTCTTCCGCCACAAGACGCGCTCCGACAGTACGCTTGAGCCGTACAAGGCTCGTTGGGTTGTCCGTGGCTTCCGACAATGCGCCGGCGTGGACTTCACCGACACCTTCGACCCGGTTGTCAAGCCGGGCACGATCCATACTGTCCTGCAGCTTGCAGTCTCCCGTTCCTGGCCGGTACATCAGCTTGACGTCTCGAACACCTTCCTTCATGGCCATCTTTCCGAAGAGGTCTATTGCGAGCAGCCCACCGGATTCGTCGATGCCACTCATCCGGATCATGTGTGCCATGCTCTCCCGCTCTTTGTACGGGTTGAAGCAGGAGCCGAGGGTCTGGTACGAGCGCATCGCCACCTATCTCCAGCAGATGGGGTTCCGAGCTACTCGCTCTAATGCCTCCCTATTTGTGTATCATCACGGTGATGCATCTGCATACCTTCTCCTCTACATCGACGACATCATCTTCATGGCCTCCTGGGCTGAGCTTCTTGGAAAGCTTATAGCTCGTCTCAGCGCTAAGTTCGCCCTGAAGGACTTGGGGCCGCTGCACTACTTCCTTGGCATCGAGGTGTTTCGGCGTCTTGACCGCTTCTTCCTTCATCAACATAAGTACGTGCATGAGCTACTCGAGCGCGTCAGCATGCTTAATTGCAAGCTCGTTGCTACTCCTGTTGATATGAAGGCTAGGCTATCTGCGCTTAATGGCTCTCCCACACCGGACGGGCCGTTCTATCTCTCCATTGTGGGGACACTCCAGTACTTGACCCTCACCAGACCGGATTTGCAGTGTGCAGTACAACAGGTGTGCCTTCAAATGCATGCCCCTCGCGACAATCACTGGAACCTGGTGAAGCGGATTCTTTGGTATATCGGTGGCACAATGGCTCTTGGTATCACCCTGACAGCATCATCCTCCATCGACATGGTTGCTTACTCTGATGTTGACTGGGCAGGCTGTCCGGACACTCATCGCTCACCTCTGGCTATTGCGTCTATCTTGGCCCCTCGCTCATCTCGTGGTTGTCTAAGCGACAACCGACGGTGTCGCGTTCTAGCACTGAGATTGAGTATCGTGTTGTGGCCAACACCATTGCCGAGTGCTCCTGGCTTCGGCAACTTCTTCAGGAGCTACATCACGACGTGTGTCGCGCTACCTTGGTGTATTGCGACAACGTCTCCGTCGTCTACCTCTTCGCCAACCCCGTTCATCATCGCCGCACAAAGCACATCGAGCTTGATATCCAGTTTGTGCGTGAGCAGGTGGCTCTCGGGCATGTCTGTGTCTTGCATGTACCCACCGCTCAACAGTTTGCTGATGTCATGCGAAGGGGTTACCGGCGACTACGTTCGAGGAGTTTCGGTCCAGTCCATGCGTCGCCGGCGACGTATTGACTCTGCGTGGGGGGGGTGTTGAGCATGGTTGTTATTGCATGTAATCTGGCGGCTAGGATCTCTTGTATTTACCTAGCTTAACGACATCTCCCGATCCTTTCCTTGTATAGCGGATACGATTGAGATCTCGCGGCCCTTGTATTCTATATATGCTTTGGCATATGAGCAATACATTCATCATGCAAATATTATCATTCTACAGGGGGAGCTCTCCCCGCTGATCCGTCCCAGCCATGTGTGACATGTTTCGGAAACTAAGCTTTTGTTGCAATAGTTGTTTCTGAAACAAAGCTCTTGTTGCAAAGAAGGATCATATACAAAGATGCTTTTGCAACGTCACAATGTTTCTAAAATAAAACTCTTGTTACAATAGTCACCAGTGTGGTTCTAAAACAAAGCTCTTGTTGCAATAGTCACCATTGGTTATGAAACAATAGTCTTGTTGCAAAGAGGGATCATACGCTGAGCAACCTAGATCGGATGGCTCGCGAGGCGGCGGAACTTTGCCCGGTGCGTAGCACGCCCCTTATTATAATCCTATTTGCTTAACCAGCTTTTGCCTATTTTAGTGTTTATTATGTGACCCAGGTGTGCTTATATTTACGTCTAAATCTGCATTGCAAATTAATCAAATAAGCACAACAACCGCAAGCATAATCTGAAATTGTTAGGTATTTGTATAATGATCAAGCATGCTGAGATGTCCTCCATGATGATGTTGATCTTTTGTGAGGTTTGGAAGAAGCACAACGAGATAGGGACCAATTGAGCGAGAGAGCGAGAGAGCGTGAGCCACCGTCGTGCGTCACTCCGACGCCGGCTTCCACACCCCCCCCCCACCCGCCGTCGGCCACTTCGGCGACGCTGGCCACCATATTCCCTCTCCCCTTCCCTCCATCACCATGGCATCTAGCCCCAACTCCGTGGTTGCACCTTCCCGCCGGGCTGGCGAGCGGCCGGTAGTGTCCGGGCTCGCCATCTCCTCGTGCTCGAGTCGTCGGGGGCTGTGGGTGGCCCTGAGGTCTCGTCGGGGTTGCAGCACGTCGAGGGCCTGGGCGCCAGTCCGGTGGCTGCGGGCGCGGAGACGGGCGGTCACCGGCAGGTGGCGCCGTGGGCCCCGACACCGCCGTCCAGGAAGACCCTGTGGAGGCGGCGCCATGACCGGGATCTCCAGGCCCTGCAGCAGCGCCCCCGTCCTTCTTCGTCTTCCCCGCGCCGAGAGATGTCCCCAGACATGGACGGGCTCTGCATCCGGTGCCTGCGGGAGGGCCACTTCCGGCACGACTGCACCAACCAAATTGTCTGCATCAGATGTGGCGAGGAAGGGCACGGCTCCAGGGGCTGCAAGCAGCCTCGCAGTCCTTCGTCGGAAGCGGAGCTTCGGCGTCAAGCGGTGGCCATGGTGGCGCGGCGCACTTCCCGGGTGGCATCTTCTCCAAGCAGCTCACTTCCGCCGCTGCCGCCGCCACCACTGACGGCTCCGGTGCAGGCTTGGCTGAGGCTTGGTGCGCAGCACCCCCTCCCTCGGCCCCTCGGCTTCAGATGCAGATGGATGCGGCCATGGGTCCGTCGGAGCTATGCGTCGTTCGTCGTACTCTGGCCATGAACGATCTGGAGAGGCGCCTTCAGCTAGCCATGGTGGTGTACGCGGGTGGAGGTCGGAGGGCGATGTCACCGGAGTTCGTGCTTGAAGCAATCCAGGACAAGGTGGGAGTTTTGCCTGAGAGGATGTCGATCCATCGTCACCGGCCGGAGGACTTCCTCGTTGTCTTCGCGCGGGCGGACGACAGGAACAGGGTGAGTGCCATGCCGGTGATGGAGCACAGGGGAGTTCGGTTGTACTTCAGGCAGTGGATCCGACAGGCCCAGGCTACTCATGCGGCCATGCAGTTCAAGGTCAAGATTGTGATGGAAGGGATCCCGCCCCATGCTTGGGAGCGGGAGGTGGCAGAGACGCTGTTGGGGTCGGCGTGCCTTGTGGACACGATTGATCCAGAAACGAGCTCCCGCTCGGATCTCTCGGCGTTCAGATTGACGGCGTGGGCGGCGTAGCCAGAGGAGATCCAGTCGCTGCGTTGGCTAGCAGTGCTGGAGCCAGGCTTGAGGTCGCCATTGATGGAGCCGACCCTTCTGCAATACAAAGTGCTGATTCATGTACACGAGGTCTCTGACTACACTGCTGCCGACGAGCCTCTGTTCTTGAGATCGTCCTCTGGCAGCAATCAAAGCAGGCTACCTGATGAGCCGAGTGCGGCGGACATGGGTGGAGGAAGAGGAGCCACCACAGTGCACGGGGATTGGCGCTTCGGAGTGCGGGATGAGAGGGGAAGTGGCGGAGCCAACGGTGGTCAGGTATGGGGCGACGACACAGGAGCGGTGGCGGCCGCCGGGGAGATGACCGGAGCTGGGCAGGAATGGAAGTTACCCCACATGCAGCTTACGCCAGAGGGCCCACCTTGCGGCTTTGGGTCAGTGCATGACCGGGTCACCATCAGGACCTTGGCGTTTGACCGTTTGACTGGACAGGTGGCGACGCGGCCATCAGTGCTCGCCAGGCAGGATCAGGATTTGAACGATGGAATGGGGCGTGCAGATCGGTGTGGCGAGGGCGGGACGCCGAGTGCGCCAATCATTGAGGCCGCTAGACAGGACTTGCCCGTTGTGAAGGAGGCGAATCACCCAATGAGGCAGGAGGGGACAAACCAGGAAAAAGAGGCGGGCCAGGCACTGGATGGATCAGCTGACAATGAATGGGAGGCGGCCTCGAGGCTGGTGCGGCTAGTGGACAGATGCGAGACCCTCATTAGTGCGCATGGTGGGGCCGTGGTGACTGCTCAAAAGGAGCCGCTGCTATTGGGCGGGCCAGCAGAGCCGGTGGGGCTGGTGGTGGCCCCCGCGGGCAGGGCAGCATCTACCTTGGTGCACGAGCCAGCCTATCCTCTCGTGGTGGGGACGGATCAGGAGTGGTTGCCGGGGGATCAGGACAAGCAAGGGGAAGGTTCGGCGGAGGGACAGAAAATTGCAGTGGAGGTGGCCAGCGCACGTGGGCCCAGGCAACAGGACATGGGGGAATCTGCGCCAGCGCAACCACCAATGGGCGCTGCATGTGTGGCCATGCAGGATGGCACATCCCCATGCATGGGTGGAGATCACGTAAACTCGCCTTTGGAGCCAGGAAACACGGAGCTTCAAGCGATGGTTCTGCATAATTGCACGGTGGAAACTGCGGGCATGACAGCACTGGAGGCAGTGGCATATAACAAACTGAAGGGGTTCTGCTCCAACATCATCAAGAAATTGGCGCCGCCTTTGCTTAAGGAAGTGCAAGCAGCCAAGTTGAGGCCGGAGGCGATGCCTTTCACACCAAAGCGTACAACCCGGGCAACAAAGAAATCGACTGCGAGCTGCACAAAGGACAGACCGGCTAAGAACGTCCTATTGCACGCACTTGGTTTTGTGCCGGACGATATGGTGGCGGACGATGGGATGGTGCATGAACTGCAGGCTCTGTTCGATTCGCCATTATGAGAGCAGCACATATGGATCATTGCGGGGCTGTTTGGCAAGGCTGTGCCGGCAGGTGCTGATGCGGAGGAACGGAACACGGTGGTGTTGTGCTCGCACTAGCGTAGCAAGCACGGGCGGTTGGTGTACATCTCCTCTTGATGGATATACACCCGCAGGTGTTGTGCTGGAATGTTAGGGGCCTCAACAATCCAGCAAAAAGGAAGGCCGTTCGGGAGGTTGTGGATATGGTTAAGGTGAACCTAGTTTGCTTCCAGGAAACAAAAATGGATGTAATGGACCATTATATTGTAATGCAATGCTTGGGGCCATCGTTTGATGGTTTTGCGTATGTGCCAGCGGTGGATATGTGTGGAGGTATACTCTTGGCATGGGATAGCTCGGTGCTTCGGGTAGATAATATCATGCTCAACACTAGCTTCCTCACAGGAAGGGTGCATGCCAAGCTAGGGGAACCATGGTGGATCACAGTGGTATATGGACCACAAGGTGATGAGAGGAAAACTCAGTTCTTGCACGACATTAAGGAATGGAGGGTGGGGTGCCCAGGGCCTTGGATGTTGCTTGGTGATTTTAACATGATCATTAGGGCCACGGACAAAAACAATCCCAATGTTAACAGAAGGATGATGGGTCGTTTCCGAGATTTTGTGGATGATCATGAGCTCAAGGAGATGTACATGCATGGCAGGAGATACACGTGCTCGAACGAGAGGGATACACCCACAATGACCAAAATTGACAGGGTACTCAGGACCGTGGATTGGGAGCTAGACAACACGGAGTACCTCCTTCAGGCGCTCTCTATAGGTGTCTCGGATCATGCGTCGTTACTACTTACTACTAGTGCTAGTTTTTGCACCAAGCAGAGATTTCGGTTCGAGATGTTTTGGACCAAGCTTGAAGGGTTTGAGGATGCGGTCAAGGAAGCTTGGAAGTGCAATGATGATATTGTCGACCCGTACAAGAGATTTGATGCCCTTCTTAGAAACACTGCGAGCTACCTACAAGCTTGGGGTCAAAAAGGGTGGGCAATGTCAAAATGCTGATGAGGGTGGCAAGCTGGGTGATACATAGGTTGGATATTGCGCAAGAGGGGAGATTGTTGGAGAGTCGGGAGCTGTGGCTGTGCCGTAGCTTGAAGCAGACCCTTCTTGGCTTAGCTGCGTTGGGGAGAACCATTGATCGTCAAAGATCCAGAATAAAGTGGTTGAGGGAGGGAGATGCTAACACCAAACTATTCCAGGCTTTTGCTAATGGGCGTCGAGCAAAGAACTTCATTACACACATCAAAAGAGATGGAGCCATTATTTCAGATCAGGAGCAAAAGGAAGAAGCCTTCTTCCAAGCATATGAGCAGCTTCTCGGACAGGAGAAGGTTAGAGAGCATGCTTTGGATTTGCAGTTCCTGGGGATGCAGAGCCATGATCTTAGCGAGTTGGAGGAAATAATTATTGAGGAGGAAGTATGGGCTATGATCAAAGGGCTTCCACCTGACCGCGCTCCAGGACCGGACGGGTACGTTGCTGCATTCTATCAAAGAGCCTGGCCAATCATCAAGAAGGATGTAATGGCGGTTTTGTTGAAGCTTTATGTGGGTGATGGCAGAGGATTTGGGAAGTTAAACAAAGCACATATTATCCTCATCCCCAAGAAGCCGGATGCTGAGGAGATTGGGGACTTTCGGCCTATCAGCTTAACTCACAGCATGCCCAAGCTGTTTGCCAAAGTTCTTGCCAACCGGCTCAGAAAACAGATGCATTTGATCGTCGAGGCCAACCAATCAGCTTTCATCAAGGGCAGGCACCTCCATGACAACTTCCTCCTCGTACAACAAGTTGCCAGGAAGATCCACACAAGGAAGAGGGCCGGTGTGTTCTTAAAACTTGATATCTCACGGGCCTTTGAATCCCTTTCATGGCCATTCCTCTTTGAGATCTTGACTGCTAAAGGCTTTGGCTCGCGCTGGAAGACTTGGGTGGCAATCCTACTACAGTCCGCAACAACCAAGGTGATAGTAAGCGGGGTGACCGGGAAGAGTTTTGGCCACGCATGTGGGCTGCGTCAGGGGGATCCTATCTCCCTGCTACTCTTCATCGTCGCTATGGATGCTCTCACGAAGCTAATACAGAGAGCTATGGAGGTGGGTGTGCTTAGCTCCTTCAACGGCATCACGGCCATGCAAAGAATCTCCATATATGCTGATGACGTGGCTCTGCTCATGAAACCCTCGGCCATGGATTTGAGCTTTGTGAAGGAGGCTTTGGATGCGTTTGGGAAAGCTTCAGGGCTATGGGTGAACTACCGGAAATCTTCAGCGATCGTGATAAGGGGAGACTTGGAGGACAGGCAGAGGGTGGCAACGTTACTGCAGTGTGATTTGGCAGAGTTCCCGTGTACGTACCTGGGCTTACAGCTGACGGTCAAGAGCCTGACTCGCGTAGAGTGGCAGCCCATGTTAGACAAAGTGAGGTACTTTGTTCCAGCATGGCAAAGAGGGCTAATCCAACGACCTGGCCGGCTCATCCTGGTGCAATCCATTGTCTCCGCCAGACCTGTACATCATCTGATGATTGCGGAGGCACCGGCCTGGGTGCTTGAGGAGATAAACAAGTGATGCGGTCGTTTTTTGGGCTGGCAAGGACAAGGTGAACGGAGGGCAATGCCTTGTCGCGTGGGACAAGATTTGCCGGCCGAAGGATCGTGGTGGGCTTGGGATCAAAAACTTGCAACATCAATTGCTAGCGCTCAGGGTAAGATGGGAATGGCTAAAGCGTACGGAGCCTGACAGGCCTTGGCAGGGACTGCCGATGATTGAGGACAGGATGGCTAGGGAAGTGTTCGACAGTTTGGTTCACATCTCAGTTGGCGTGGGTGACAAGGTGCTTTTTTGGCGAGATTGGTGGATTCACGGATTTGCAGTGGCGGAAATAGCACCGTTACTACTTGCAACGGTCCACATGAGGGTGATCAATAACAGAACGGTGCAACAGGCGCTTCCCAATGATAGTTGGAGGGGAGATTTCCAACCTGAGAACTCCTTCATGGCTCTAATGCAATGCATGCACTTGAGTCATGCGTTGGCGACGATACAAAGGAATGAGGCCGAGCAAGATACATTCACCTGGACGTGTTCTAGCTCTGGACAATACTCTGCCAAATCTATCTATCAGAGCCTTTGCAATGGGTGGCCCAAGTCGCCCCTGGCGAAGTGTGTTTGGAGGAGTTGGGCACCTCTGAAATGCAAGCTCTTTGTCTGGTTGGCGATGCAGTACAGGATTTGGACGTCGAACAGGAGGGCGAGGCATGGCCTACAGGATGCAAGTGCAGCTTGCTATACTTGCTTGCAGGACAAGGACAACGTGGATCACATCCTTTTGCAGTGCCCGTACTCACGGGAGGTGTGGTACAACATATGGGACACTCTACAGATCAACACGCCTCCCTCGACCTCAACAGAGACTACCTTGGAGTGGTGGCTTCGCGCACGGAGGAGTTTCCAGGGGCCGGACAGGAGAGGCTTTGAC